GGACTACTAGCTGCATGAAGAATATCACCCAAAATGTTTCAATTGTTTAAAAATGCTGTAATTTTGGACAACTCTCAAAAACTGAAAAAAGAGCTAAGTCTCATAAGATTGGGTTGGTTTGGGGTGGAGGGCAATGGTCCTAATGAACATTTTGCCCAGTTCTAAAGTAGATTATAGCTTTGTCTACCATATGCTGTGATCCTATGTTACTACAAGAGCTACATATACTCCCAAGCATAAAGAAAATGCCTGAACAGTCAAATCCTCTCTCCCAGCCCCCCAAAAAGAGAAGCTAGTTTATTCTTAAGCACAAAAATGACTAATCACCCTTTAATCAAGTTATGGTTTATATAGTCATCCTATTTTTTGCTTAATCAGGTTAATATTCAAACATGTTAAATATTAAATCCCTTCAGACATGCAACCTTGCTTGCCAAGTTTCAGCCTAGAACACATTTTATATGAAGATATAAATCCCTGAAAAATCACCCAATATAAATTCTGACAAACCCTTGGCTATTGTAGTGTAAGTTCTCAGCTCTGTAGATCAACAGCAAATTATAGCTAAAATTAGTTTTTTGTTAAAAATCCTATTTTGTCTGGGATTAAATGAAAGATTATTTTTAACACTAGACACATTTTCAGTTCCATTTATATTGACAAAATATCCTTTTCAGAACAAACATATATATTATTGAAGTGTGCAGCAAGAATCTACCATAATAAAATATCTTGATTATTACTGGAATGCAATATTAACTATAAAAATAATGTTATTACATTCACTGGTAATTAAAGTATATATATCTGTCTCTTGTAGATCATTCATAGTCATATTTATTCAGTTGTGTTCTTTTAAAAAAAGGTGTTTCATGCCTCTTCAAGCAGAATAAGTGATAAATAATGCATTTCCTCAATATTGATGGGAAAGCTTGGGCTATAATTAGCATAAGCGATTACATATTCTGATACTTGATGTTCAATGATGTCATTTCTGTCGTCTTATACAGTAGGAATGAAAGGCAGGCAATCTGAATAAACCCTAACAACTTTATTCTTATAAACAACCCCTGCAGTTCAAGACAGCTTCCTTTGACCAACTCTGTGAGGTAAAAGGCTCTATTCTATAGCTTCCACCAGCTTTATTCCAAGTGAAAACACCACTTTGTGCTGCATGTTATGTTAAAATAACGGATTTGTGTTGGTTCCTGAAGAGAGGTGGAATGAAAACTATCAACACTATGGGTAACAAGGCCCCTTTAAAGACAAAGTATGGGGAGATGCTGGCTAGGGTCTCCAACAGAGGACCTTTGTACTTCAATGCAAATGAATCTCTAAAAAACAGACTGCAGACAATGACCAGGGAGAAGTCACAGAGAACCAATCCATCTGCAGCTATTTTGTTAACTCAATGTTTCATACATTCTTTCTCTTATACAAAACACTTGATGTTGACAGCTGTGAATTTTAAACAACTATTCTGTGTATGTTTTTCTAATTTTGTGTATTCAGATTGCTTCTCTGTGTTGGGAGTGGGGGTGGAAAGCTGAGTACCACAGATTCCATGATTTAGAGATTTCATGCTTTTCAAAAAGTCACAGCAAGTGTGATTGCAAAACAAAGTAGAAATTAAGTGTTTAATGAACAAATGCTTCAAATGATAAAGAAAAGTGGAGTTACTTTAAACATATTACACAATACAGAACTTACATAAAGTATGAAATATAATTAGGGATTCCCCTTGAAATATTATGTTGTTCATGTGATGATTATAATAATAAAAAGATACAAACTTTGTTTGACCTTAACTTTAAGACTACTTACACCATTACAAAGATTCTTTTTCTCTTACATTAGGTGAAAGCTGTTAGCATTTTCAAATTGT